CAAAAATGACTATAGAGTAATAATAAATAATTAAATGGGTGTTCTTCTCGATGAAAGATTTCTCTCTCTCTTCAAAAATAATCCAAAAAAAAAAAAAAAAATTAAACCTTTTGAGACGTTTAATAAATGGGTGATAAAATAGAAAAGTATGTCTCCGAATTAGAATCGTGTAAACAATTAAATGATTTTTTGAGGGCCCGTATTGAAGAGTTGGAAGTTAATTCTTTGATTAAAGATCAGGATATTAAAAAACTTCAACAAGAACTTGATGATTTCAAGAAAGAATTTCAATCTATCGTCGAAAATTATTACGAAATCTTGGATAAAATAAAAGCAAAATTGGATAAACAAGATGTTAAATTAAAAGAACTGTTGAAACTTAAGAAATCCAAGAAAAAAACTTATCGGCAATATGACAACTATTATTATTCTCATGCGTACGAACCTTCGACATATTACCATGAGGATGATTATGATAACTATGAGGACTGTGATAATTATGATAATTATGAGGATGTATATGAGAATGATTATTATAATGAACATTATAATAAAGAAAATGATTTCTATGACGAAGAAGTATATGAACCTTCAATATATGGTTATCAAGAAGATTATGATTACAATTATTACGATGATGATGAATTATCCGAACCCTCAACTTTCCGTGAACGTTATCATTTTAATTATCGTGATGAGGATGATGATGAGGTGTATCAGCCTTCAATTGATGATAACTATATTGAGGAAGAAATTGAAACTTCGTTTGAAGATGATGATGTGCACCCAGTTATTTCTTCTATCTTGGATAGTGTAAAAAGATTTTTAAATAATCTATTTTAAACATTTTAATTTTTAAATATAAATTTATATGCAATAGACAACAAATATTTCAGTTATTTTAAAGTCAAGTTGATACGTTTCATTGATTAAATAAAAAATTATGACTAAAGATTCGATAACATCCTTTTTCTAATGGTGTATCACCTGATCTGAAAGAAATAAAATACAATTAAACTTGTCCAAACCATAAATGGAAGTGGTCCCATCTTTCATTAATCTCTGAAAATACTTGATTGATCCCAACGTATCTACAATTTTCACAGGTTTTTTGAAGTGCATTTATATAGATCAAATAATAATTAGCTCATTTTAGTATTTTTAATATTGTTTTCATATTCTGGTTTCCTATTTGTCTTTTAATTTGTTTTACGATTTTCTATAACTCGAATTCAAAAAGTAATGTATTTTGATATTTTATCAATAAGGTTATAAAAGTGTTTTCTAATTCTTTCTTTACTCTCTTTTTATAATTACTTTTTTTTTAATCTATAACTTATTGAAATGATAAATGTAATTAATATCATTCTATTTTTTTAATTACTAATTTTTTAAAAAAATAGCTAATTGAAAATGATCTTATATATTTATAATTTATAAATATAAAATCTTAATCAAAATCTTTAATTTTTTTTAGTAAATTTAATTAAAAATATTTTTTTTTTATAATTAACATCAAAACTTAGAATATTATTATAGTCATAATTTAACAAAATATTTTTTTTTTATATATATAATCTATTATATAATATAATTAATATATAATTTTTAATATAAAGTATTTATTAGAGCTCTGAATAAGTCAGATCAGGTTAGGTTAATTAAGTTATCTGAACTGAGAGAATTAGATCAGGTCAAATAAAAATCTAACCTGGTTTAAATTTTCATTTGACCTGACCTAACCTGATCTGATCAAATTATTCAAGAAGAATAATTAGCTATCGTTCAAAAAAAATGATAATGAATCATTCAAGAATAATAATATATCATTCTAAATGAATAATAATTTATTATTTAAGAATAATAATAAATCGTTTTAATTGAATAATAAAATATCATTCAAGAACGATAATGAATCATTCTAATTAAACAATAAAATATTATTTTAAATAATAACGAATCATTTTAATTAAATGATAAAACATTATTCAAGAATGATAAAATTATAGTTCTTGAATAATAAAAATATTGTTTAAAATTGTTAAAATTATTATTCAAGAATGATGATTGGTTGACCTGAATTTTATCAGATCAGATTAGGTTAACCTGTTGACCTGACCTGATATTAACCTGAAAATTTACTGACCTGATCTGGATTTTTAAATCAGGTCAAATCAAGTAAACAGGTCAATATGTTCTGATTTAAAGCTCTAGTATTTATTTAAGATTTACAATTCATAAACTTATAAGAGTATTACATAAAAATAAATAATTATATAAAATATTTATACATATAATCAGATTCCTATATAGTCACATCCTATACAGTTACACTCCTTTATAAGTACCTATTTTTATAAAACAGATTTTTATTATTAAATTACCTATATTATACAAAAATTTTAATATATATATTACTTTTATTAATAATTAAACCTTCATTAATTATATAATAAATTTTATTTTTATTTTAAAAGATAATAAACTTTTATTTAAAATAAATATTTTGAACTTTTAATTATTAAATTTAATTAAATTTTCTTTTATTAATACTTTTTCTTAGAACTAAAATAACTAAATCAACTTAATGCTTAGCTATAAATGATAAAATAAAATATCAATTATGTAAATAATTAAAAGCAAATAAAAGTAAACAGCATATAAATTTTACAAATCACTTCAATAAAATGCATCTTAATTTAAATATTGATAAAAATACAATTTCAAAGATTTTTGTTACAAAATGATAGATAAAAAAAAAATAAAATGTTTAGACATAAAAAGTTAAGTTTTCAGTCTTTAACAAATAATAAGCCTATAGGTTGAAAATGCAACAGCTAATGATATAATATTAACAGATTTATTAATAAAAAAAAGCAAAAATATTCGTTAAGAAAAAGATTTAACATTTTCTAATAGATGGTTATATAAGTTTAAAAGACAAAATAGATCATATATATGAAGAATCAGAAAGTATATTTTTAGCATCTCATTCAGAAGAACATATAAAATTACAATTAATTTAAGTTAATATATACTTAACCAAATTATAATATTGATGAAATAGTTTTTAATAATTTCAAAAAGATTGAATAGATATTAAAATATTATAATTAAAATTAAGATCTTTTTATCGAATATCTCTAAATCAAATATTTTTAATAAAACTAGTTTTTAAATGAAAGAAGAACAAAATATGAATTACAGTTTTTTTTAGTATTAATACAATAGATACTAATAAATTAAAGTTATAGATAATTAACAAATCAAGTAGCCAAAACTTCTTTCTAAAATTAATTTGAAAAATCTTCCTATTTATTATCAAGTTAATCTTAAATATAAATAAACTTGTTATTATTTAAAGAGATTCTTCATGAAATTAATAGTTGTTTTAAAGTGTAAGATAAAAAAATATTGTTTTTAATTGATAATACTCTATTATATTTCAATCTGAATGTAATAGAGATCAATTAAAATAATCATGATGATAAAAAATTATTTATATATAATAAGATTTTTTCATAATTCTTTTATTTTTTTTTATTTCCTTTTTTTTAATTTTCTTTTTTTGATTTTTTTTATTATTAATTATTATTTTAAATTTCATTTTTTTTGATAAATATTATTTTTTTAGCATTTTTAAATTTTTGTCCTATATTTTTTATTTATTTTTTTTATCTTCTTTTCTCTTTTATCTTTTTTATTTTATTTATTTTATTTTTTTTTTATTCCTTTTTACTTTACCTTTTTTTGTTTCTTTTCCTTTATCTTTTTTTTTTATTTTTTTTCTCTTTACTCTTTTTTTGTTCCTTTTTTTTTTCCTTTTCTCTTTTTTTTAGCTTTTTTTAGCTTTTTTTATTTTGTTTTTCTTTATATTTTTTTTTCATTACTTTTCATTTTTCTTTCTTTTTTTTTTATTTTTTTCCTTTTCTTTTTTATTTTTTATTTTCTTTTTATCTTCTTTTTTTATTTATTAAAAATTACATTATAAGTTAGAATTTAACAGAATTTGAATTTCATAGGGTTATATGACAAGAAAGTGTGTGAGATAAAATATTTTTTACTTTTTTTTAATTTTTAATTTTTTTTTTTTAGATTTACTAATTTTTGTTCTTTTTTTTTTTATTTTTTATTAAAAATTACATAAAATTAGAATAGAATTTAATGTAAAATTTAAATTTTATAAGATTATAATAAGGAAGAACTCAAGATAAGATATTTTTGCTTCTTTTATTTTTATTTTTTCAATTCTTGCTAATTTTCATTTTATTTTTTGATTCTTAAAGTTAGAATTTAGATTTTATAGAAAAGGATTTTAATAAGATTTTATTTTTTTTTTTATTTTTTTCTTTCAATTCTTTTTTAATTTTTAAACTCTTTTTTTTAATATTTTTAATTTTTATCATTTTATTTCTATTTTTTTTAATTTTTTTTAACTTATATATTTTTTTTTATCTTCTTTTTTTCTTTTTTTTTTTTAGTTTTTTTTAATTTTTTCTTATTTTTCTTTCTTTATTTCTTGTTTAATATTATTTTTTTATTTTTTTTAGATTTTTTAATTTTTTGTTAATTAGCTAATTTTTTATAAAAATCAATATGATAGTAAATTAAACAATAATATATCAAGAGATCATAACTTTCATAATGGTCATGATAAATCAAAGATTATAACCATTGTAATAATTAAAGTATATCAAGAGGTTATAGTTATCATATTAGATCAGAAGAATATCAATTTTGTAGTTTTCAGCTTTAACTAACTTATGTTAAAATAGTTTTCTACCTCTAAATACAATAAATCATCTTTAATTGCTTAATATCAAAATTATTATAAACTTCAAAAAATATTTTTAAAAAAATATTGTCATCATATGCTAGATTTATTTGAGAATGAAAAAGATATAAATATTGAAAAAAATTAATATAAAAGTGACAATTAACTATATTATAGAAGTATAAAGCTATATGACTAAAGAAATAGTATAGAATTATTAAAAAAAAAACTGGTATTTTACCTTCTTTATCTGATATAAATATAGATGATATATTGCAAATCTAATAAGAAAAATTAAATAATAAAATAGCTAATATTAAACAAATAATCAAAGAATTTGATTTGGATGTTCCTTTTATTTCTTTATTATTTAATACATTAACCAATTTTTTTCAAGAATTAGAAAGAATTCCAACTAAGAATAGTTTAAATAAGAATGATATTATAAAATTAATCTAAGAAGAAACATATAATCAAAATAATAATTTTTAAAAAAAAGAAATTTTAGTATCTTCTAGTAATATTCTTAAATCTTTAGAAACTTAGATTTTATTTTTTAAATAGTAGAGTACTTATAAATATAATATAAAAAATTTAAATCTTTTTAAAAGATATTTTAAAATAGTTAAAAAATTTGAAAAAATCCTAGAAGCAGGCATCAATTATAGACTTTTTTAATATTTAGTTTTAAATAGTATTTATATATTATTGAACATTAATAATTATATAATAAATAATTTTAAATAAATATTTTGATAAATTTTATTATTAGTTTAATTCTTATATTATAAATTTATCATTAGAACTAAACGTAAATAACCTCTATATAGTTATCTCACATGATTTTTAATATAAAAGTGATTATATAGAAGTTATCTTTTTACCAATTATATCTTTATATAATCACTAATTTGGTAGAACTAATTAGATGACTATATGGGTTGATTGCTAGGAAAATCAGGTTCCGGGAATTTTTTAACAAAATTGGGATTTCTATTGCATTTTAGTTTTTGATGTTATTAGATTAAAATGCATTAAACTCTTAATTTTAGTTAAAAATTTTTCGGAACCTGATTTTCCTAGAAATCCTCCCATATGAAGGTTTAATTGTATTTTAAAATATAAGTAAAAAATGGAAAAACTATGCAAAATAATAATGTAATAATAAAATATAATCCATTTTTCTCTTAAAATCCTCTTAAATTGTCTTAAATATTCATTATTGCAATATTGCTATTTTTGAAAAAAAGAATAAATAATAAAAATATGATCTAAAAATCTTTTAAAATCATCTAAAATAATAATAAAATAATAAAAATAAAATATTTATTTTTTTCTACTAAATTACTTAAAATTATTTTTTTTCTATTATAAAAGTAAAAAAAAATCAGTTTATTATTTGAAAATTAGACTGATTGATTAATAAAATTTAACTTGTTTTATTGATATTAAAGTACCACACAGGAGATATTTCATTTGAACAAGACGTGATCTTTATAATGAGGAAAATTATATCATCTCTTTTTTCGAGCTCAAATAAGTGTAGAAATAAATTAGTAAAAATCTTTACGGCATGATGATGACTCGAGGACAACATCTTCATCTAATCAAACGAATTAATAGATATATATAATATAAAGTTACTCGATTCTTTGGAAAGTATCATACTTTGTTTTAGATTCAACATAAAAGAATTGCAACTTTATTTATAAATAAATTTTATTAAGGAGAATGAAATTGTTGAGCCCAAAGATAAAAAGCAAGATATTATTTATTAATAAAGTTTCCGTTAAAACATCATAATATAAGAAAGTAGAATAAGTTGCCATTTCAAAAAAAAAAAACTTAGAATTGGCAATTTTATTGGGACTTTAGGACTTTTAACATTTCTTGTTTTTGGAAAAAGGTTAGTCCTTCTTAAAAAGTAACCTTGCAAAATTATTCAAAGAGGGAATGTAATAAAAAATTGTGTAATATTTCATTCGATGAAATTTGATTCATTGGATTTAAATTATCATGGCGTAGAATATTTGACAAATTATTGGGTAAACCTTTTATTTTAGTTCAACGGTTTATTTTAACCGATGAAATATTTTTATTTATTTATTAAGAGAGAAACAATTTATCCAAAAACGGTTAATATCCCGCGTGACGAAATTTTACCTTTTTTTTTTATTTATCACGTGGGTAAGGTGATATTTATTTTAATAAAGAATTGTAATAATTTGTTATATTACACTATTATTACAAGACATTAAAAGAGGAAAGAAAATTATATTATATATTATATAATTAAAAATTATTATATTTAAATTTTGAACAAGAAATTATTTAATTTAAATTGCCAAGAAAGAAGAAACCAATAAAGCACCGATCATTGTCGTCAAACTAACTCCTTTGATGCTGGAGTCACCGGTTGGTTGAGCTAATTGATAATTGAAATCTTCTGGATCGGTATCTTCTGGGTTTCCAACTTTACCGTCCAAGAATTGAAAACCACATTTGAGTCCGACAATAAGTTTACCGACTTGTATGAAAAGTGGAGGGACACCAAGTTGTCCTAAATATTCTACGGAATGATTTGTATCAGCGTTGAGGAAGTTAAAAATAGTGTTGATTATGGCTTTGTTGCATGGAGTGCAAATCTCTTTAGGTTCAGCAAAGGCGATGGAATCAATCAAACCACCATCGATAAGCTTAAATGGAGGTTTAGGTAAGGCAGTCACTTTATCCAAAGTTTCGAATACACAGTACTCTTTTTTTGTGTCTTTGAAGCAGATCGTATCTCTAATTGGGGAATAGAATGTGACGACAGCAGTCGCGATTTCTATAAGTAAATTCTTCTCATCAGCCTTACAGCCATCATTTAAGGCTTTAAGAGAGGTGGCAACACCTTTGTCAGAACATTTAGGTGCAGCACAAATACCATCAAATACCGGTCCCAATACTGGAGGTATATTTTTAGCAGGATCTTGTAACAATTTTGGAATGGCAGTTGGATCGGCTAGAACCGGTAACAATGGCAAAAACGCTGGGATTGGTACGCATTCAAAGAATTCTGGGTTTGCTACGATGCTAAGTAAAGCGGCTTGACAAGTTGGTGATAATGATTCGATCAATTTGATGGGGTCAAGGGGAGCGGGCGTTGGTGGTTTTTTGCCTTTTTTTGCATCTGCATCTGGATCTGGTTCACTTAAGGTAGTAACATTGTCCGCCGGCGGAGGAAGTCCTTTAGTAAGACCTTGTACGAGCGGAACTCCTTTAGTAAGAGGAGTTGTATAGGTAGGCATAACACCGGAATAACTGGGTGTTCCTTTACTGGCTGTTCCTAGGCCAGCAAGGAACAGGGAAAGGGAAATAAATAATAAAGACTTCATTTTGTTATACTAAAAAAACTTTTTAATGAAACAATTGAGCTTGTTTCTATTTCGTTTAATGAAGGAAAAAAAAAAAAACTTATATAATATTTTGTATATATATATATATATATCTTTTTTTTTTTTTTTTGCGAATTCTCTACGAAATTTTCGTGGTGCTTATATACTAAAAAAAAAAATCAGAAATTCGAATTTTGAAATCTAGTTAATAAAACAAGGGGGATTTACACGCTTGTAGATCGATTTTTTATAATGATTATCCCGATTAAGCTTGATTTTATTATATTAATTACTTTTATTATTAAATAATTAATATGATTTAATTAAAAGCCATCAATTTTGTTGAGTTCTATGATAAAAAAAAAAAGCATTTTTGAATCTGGGAATTTCACGAGGTTGCGTCAATCTTAATTTGCGGAACCTCTATATCAGGAATTCTGTATTTGTTAATTTCGATTAACATCACGTGATACAATTTGGATTTTTAATAAATTTGATTATCTTCATATGAAATGGGAGTTGCTTCTTAATCTTTACTCGTAGTGACTTCAGTTAGAAACGTGGGGGTTATTTACTATTTAAGCAGAAAATGATGAAGCATTTGATCTCAAAAGTGTAACTAGCCTTTTATGCAATAATGTGGTCGAAAAATTGTTATTTTGGATCAAAAATGTCGTGCGGAAAGTTGAAACTCCAAACGAAATTAATATCGGATAGATTGAGATTCAAATTATATATCCATAAATGTTATGTGACATCCCTGTTTATTTTGTAAATCGGAATAACAATCTTGGAATATAAAATCACTTTTATTTTACTGAATAAACCGTGGAATTTTTTTTAGTCGTGATAAAGAATTTTTAAACGTTCTCCCAGTTTATATTCTGTTTTTGAACTTCGAATATCAAAATGTATTTCGTCCATCGCGCTTATCAAATTTCTCTATTTTTGTTATCGGTCTTTAAGTAAATATTTATTTATTATAAAAAAATTAGTGTTATTTATTTCTTTCTTATAATCCTTGCGTAAGTCCAAGCGGATGGTTCTCTCAGTCAGAGGATCCTTATTAACAGTATTTAATTTTTTTTTTTTTTTGAAAAAAGAGAACTAAAAAAAAAATCAAATCAAAATAATACAAAATAACAGGGGAACGGTGATCATTTATCACGGGCTCCTTCATATTTGGCGAAATGAAATGGTCCAATGTTACTTCAATCGCCCAAAGAGGTCGATTTTGATCAACAAACCGAGCTCTTCTTAATCTATCATCCGATGCAACTCTTGAAGAAATTAAGAACCAAGTTTTGATTCGAATAAGGAGGAGGGGGATTCTATGGATTATGTACAGTATTTGAAACAGTGAGAAGTGAATTTCGGGAGGGATACTAAGGAAGCTTTTATCAGGGCGGAAGGGATCCGAAATTTAGTACAGTAAACTTAATTAGCAAATGGTTAGATCATAAAGAAAATATGGTAGTTTTAGATGAATTCCATTCATGCTTTATTCCCTCCCTTGAAAACCTGCTTCTCATCATTTTTTACTTTCATTTTAGTTAGCGCTGGCTCCATTTTATCAAAATATTTTAAATTAATAAAGTTTTCGTGGCATATTTGGCGCAGTATCAAGTTCATCAAAATCATATGACTGTAACAAATCAAAATCTCTACGTTAGTTATAATGCGACGGAAAATTTTTCTTTCTAAACAAAATTTCTTTTCGAGTCCAAAAAAATATATCATATCAAAGGAATAGACAAGACTTTGATCTATTCGGAATAATAAACGTTCAGAAGCTTTTATTATTGCGCTTTTAAAATGTCTTCACGTATTTCATTCCCAATTGATTTGGCTGCGTGTGTAAACCCTCGTTCTTTTCGAATGAACCTTATTGATGGTCAGCTTGACATAATGTTAACAGTATTCAGTAACGGTATGTCACTTTGCTAAGGCACTACTCAACAAATTAAATGTTTCTTTTCTAAACCGTAGATAAAAAAAAAAAAAAAAAATAGCTCACAGAGAATCTATTTTTACTTACCATATAACCGGCTGGTCCTTGCTAACTCCCACCTAATGCTTCGTAAGGGTCGGGTTCAAGGCATATCGAACTCGAACCCGTTAATAATTACAGAACCTGAATTCGACTCGAGTTCGACTCGGATTCGATTATTGTTTACAGTTGTTTTCATAAGTCACGGGACACTCGGAAAATTTGTTGCCGAGTACTTGCCGACAACCCAGCAACCCGGAAACTCAGGTTGCCAAAAAATAACAACAACCACGTGATATAATATAAATAACACATTTGAATTTTAAACGCAAAATTATAATCTGAATTGCCGGGTTGCCGAACAGATCGCCCGATCATCCGGGTCACCCGGGTCAAGCAAAAACGTGACCCTGACCCGGCGGGTTTTTTTGAATTAGGACTCGTGATAGTCCCGACTCGAGAAAAAATTCGAGTCGGGTCAAACAAACCGGGTCGACTCGATCGTTTCGGAGCACTGCTCCACCTGGCTAGAGAACTTCCCAGGTGAATTACTCAAACATCATGTCCATTATGTTGAAACTTTTTTTCAGTTTGCTAAAGTCACGTCTTTTGTTATTATAAGGATGTTATAAGCTATTAAACGGTGATGTTATGGGCCCCGATTTTGCTATTGTACTTCATATCAGGTTTCTAAACATCATCAAATATAAAGTTAATTTGCATTTTTTCATCCTTTTTTAAAAATTTTACGTTATTACTGCAGGTGGGACGATCTAACAAGCGTACAAAAAGATGAAGCATATCCGTCAGTCGCACCTAACTTTGTTGTGGAGTTACGTCCACAGCCTGACTCACCAATATGTCCATCATAAAATGTTGCGATGGATTAATGGTGGCGTTGAGAGACTATGATGGCTATTTCCTTATAGATCTAAATTAGTTAATATTTTATTTGGAGGGATAGTCGATTGATCGATTTGTAAACTCGCCCGAAGTGAGAAGAATATATATGTTGAATGCAAATACAAATCAAGTCCTTAATGGATTTGTAATTAATAAGCGAGTTGTCTTTTGAATGAAAAATATTAAATGACAGAATTAGGTAATTGTTAGCATTTAATGGTCGAATGATTAGAGTTAACAAGCGACTAAATGAGCTGTCCGTTCTTTAGGCTTTCATTTAAATAAATCAATCATTTTTTTTGCAGTAATTTGTTACAAATAAAGTTTCGCCTGATTGGGCTTTATTCTTTTAATCGTGTATGCTGTGTTTGTATCGGAGAAATTTTTATTGTAATTCCAGATAAATAAAATTATAGACGAAAGAAAAAAAATAATAGTAAAATCGCAAAAGCATTTAAAGTTTTGAGTTTATTTAATGAGACCCAACTCTAAAAGATGATTTGGAATGTATGGATTCTCGTAGATTTATAGTTAAAAATTTGAATTTTAAAAAAACGTCTACCACATATATAATCGAACCGCAAAATTAAGTTGAACGGTGGCTTTTGCAATAATAATAATCACTTGATTTCTTACAAGAGAATTCTTTTTATCATAATTGTTATTTTTTTAACAGACGATCTCCGCAAAGCATAAAATTTATTCGACGCAACAATCGAATTTCAGGCGAGCAAATAATACTTTTTGAACAGTACATTAAATCAATAGTGCGTCATTCTTACATACAAGATTAACAATTAAAGTAAAATATCAGTTTTATTATAGTTTTTGGAATATTATTAAAAAGAATTTACTTTTAGAGAAACTAATAAATTATTTAAAAAAAAATTATATTATTATTATAAGATTATTCTCTAAATTTTTAGAACTTCATTAAAAAATAAAGGTGAAATTAAATTAATTAATAGGAAGAAAAGTTCATTTTTTAAAATAAGAAAACGGAAGCCAAGGATGCACCGATCATCATTGTCAAACTTCCTTTAACGTTGGAGGCACCGGATGAACCATATGTTCCTTGAGACAATTGATAATTGAAATCGTCTGGATCGGTATCTTCTGGTTTTCCAACATTACCGTCCAAGAATTCAATACCACATTTAACTCCGATAAAAAGTTTACCGATTTGTAAGAAAAGTGGAGGGACACCAAGTTGTCCTAAATATTCTACGGAATGATTTGTATCAGCGTTGAGGAAGTTAAAAATAGTGTTGATTATGGCTTTGTTGCATGGAGTGCAAATCTCTTTAGGTTCAGCAAAGGCGATGGAATCAATCAAACCACCATCGATAAGCTTAAATGGAGGTTTAGGTAAGGCAGTCACTTTATCCAAAGTTTCGAATACACAGTACTCTTGTTTTTTGTCTTTGAAGCAGATCGTATCCCTAAGTGGGGAATAGAATGTGACGACACCAGTCGCGATTTCTATAATTACATTCTTCTCATCAGCCTGGCAGCCATCATTTAATGCTTTAAGAGAGGCGGCAACACCTTCGTCAGAACATTTAGGTGCAGCACAAATACCATCAAATACCGGTCCAAATACTGGAGGTATATTTTTAGCAGGATCTTGTAACATTTTTGGAATGGCAGTTGGATCAGTTAGAACCGGTATCAATGGCAAAAGCGCTGGGATTGGTACGCATTCAAAGAATTCTGGGTTTGCTACGATGCTAAGTAAAGAGGCTTGACAACTTGGTGATAATGATTCGATCAATGTGATGGGGTTAGAAGCGACATCGCTCAAAACATCGGCCATTGCGGTAGCAGCAAAGAAGAGAGAAGTAAATAAGAATTTCTTCATTTTGGTTATTATTCGTATTATGGAATCGGGTTTTATTGTTTTAAATGAAGGGGTACTTTTTTTATTTTTTTGTTCACGACAAACTTCTTTCGGCAAATTTTTCGTCGTGTTTATATATTAAAAAAAAAGCTGGTGTTGATCTTTGATCCGCAATGAGAAAAATTTTTTTTTTGGAACAAAGTTAAATTCATGTGAAAATTTGTTTTTAAAAAGGACACTCAATTTGGTTTTATTTTGAATGAATAATAAAAAAACGAAAGATGTCTACAAGTTAATTTTCAGCCGTTATATTTTTAAATAATTCATTTATAATTGTCAAAGTTAGACAAAAATGATAATAATAATGGCTCATTTGACAGTTTTAGAATAGTTTTACGAGGATGAATAGAAATAAAATAAATAAAAATAAATTTATATAGAGTCAAGAACCCGATATAACGATCCTCCCGGTTTATTATAAAATTTTTTTAAAAAAAATCGTTTAAACGAGAATTCGTTATATCAAAAGTTCGTTATAACGAGTTCTGACTGACTGTACCTTGCTGCGCAACCTTTATTATATAAATCCACTTACCATATGCGAAAACTATAATAACTGATATATAAATTTAAATCCGGGGATTTAAATTTTATATTTACCTTAAAGAGATTCATTTTATAATATATTAAGACTCCCACTTGATCATCCACTTACTAACTAAATCTGGAAAATTTCAAATGGAGAATTCAGCGATATTCGAGTTATCTGCCACACATGATTTTCAATTTTGGTCCACACTTCTTTGATAATTTTCTCAACATCATGCTTTTAAAATAAATTTTTACTTGTACTACTAACTAAAGTCTATCTTTTTTTAATATAAACAAAATTTGATTTAACTCTTCTCCAAATATGGGTGGACCCGACTAAAAATACCGCATTAAAAAATTAAGAAGCGATCATGAGATCATCAGTGATACACGGAATATCCCGCTGGCGCTATAAACTAAAAACCGAAAAAAAAAATCTATAAAAAAATGCCTCCTTTATTATCTTTATTATTTTTAACACGTCTTTATTTTTTCCTTTTAACATTAATTATTATTTGTTGCTCATTAATTGAATCTCTTCGAAAAATTAATAAAGTATATGGAAAATTAGAAGATACAATTTCCCATAAAACATGGTTGACTTCCAAATTATCAGTACCAAAATATTATTTTAGATATTTTTATATTACTGGATTTCTTTGGATTTCATATATTATTATCGAGATTATTTTATTTAAAAATAATTTTATTGGAATATTTTCAATATTTGTTCATTTATTTGAAAATACCAATAATGAGGAAATTTATAAGGAATATTATGGAAAACAACCAGTGGAAGAATGTATTTTGGCTTTGTTTATGATGGAAGTTCAAACGTTACGTAGAGCCTATGAATGTTTTTTTGTTGAAAAACCTTCTCCAAATTCTAAAATGCTTATAACTCACCATATCGTTGGAATGACTTTTTATCTTGCTACTGGATTAGCCGTTTTTATTGAAGGTCTTTGGAATTTAGGTGTCTTCAATAAAGGTAAGTTTCAATGGTTTTTTTTAAATACTTTGTTAAATTAATTTATTAATAACTTATGCTAATACTGTCATTTAGATCAATTTACTTCTTTACCTCCCCTTACGAATTTTATTAAATGGAATACAATGATCGCACTATCTCTTTTCATTTATGCATCTTATCATCAAAATGTTTTACACAATCATTTAGCATCACTTCGTCCTTCTAATACTTCAAATACTTCTTATGTTCCAATTTATCTGATCCCAAAGGGAGATTGGTTTGAATATATTTCCTCGGCACATTATTTTGCGGAAATATTGATTTACGTTAGTTTTGTTATATTAACCAGAGGGATGAATCTAACCGTGTGGTTGGTATTGATTTGGACTATTATTGGTTTGGGTACTATAGCAAGGGAAAGTGATTTATGGGGAAAAGAAAAGTTTGGCGAAAAATGGCCCAATAGATGGTTAATAATCCCATTTATATATTAAAAGCGTTTGAGAAACAAATAAATAAATTTAAATATTATTTTGAATTGGTTTATTCTGAATGATTAACAATCAATTTTATTAAATTATTTTGAATAGCATCATGATCTATATAATGATTTGCATATCCTTAGAAAATACTTGCAAATTATTAAAGCTAGTGTTTAAAATAGCAAACTACATTTGATGGTATTTTTGAAAGATAATAATGTTCATTTATTTTAGTAATTAGTATTTTTATAATATGATTTATCTTACAATCTAATTAAAATAAAAGGATCATATCACATGAAAAAAAAGTTATTCATTTGGATTTATATCAACGGAATTTTATATAGAATTCATTTTTGATAGTAAGTGAAATTAATTAGACCAATTTGAAAAATTATTGATTTGTTTTCATCTTTATTTACAAATTTTGTATTACAACCAATATTTTTTGTTAAGAGCATTTATATCTGAAAAATATAATAAATTTATATTTTTTAATATATGCGTTGGTATAAGTTAAAAAATAATTTATATAGCTTAAATTTGAAATGTGATAATTGGAACTTTTTCGTTTCACGATTTCAAGTTGACACGTATTCATTCACTTAATAGAAATGCCCGAGTTTCTGTGATATGTACTATTTTTTTTTTAATAAAAAATGTATTTTTATAGTATGATTTTTACATTAAAGAATAAAAATTAGCATTCATTTACTTTCAATAAAATTTTTTTTATAATCACACTAAATCAAAATTTTATATAGATGCGACTATATAATAAAAACCTCACTATAAGCACGCACCTTTATAATCACACCATTTGATGGTCCCAATAGAGGGGGACGACTGTATTAAAATTAATTTAATTATTTTTTTTATTTACTCTTACTTATAAATATAGTTATAATCATTCTTTATTTTGCTAAAAAATAATGCTAGTCACATCAAAATTATAATTTTATATATTATTAAAAAAAGGTTAGAAGATAATATATATTTAGAAAAAGTTTCACTATTTTCGAATCTTAAGCGTTAATAAATGTTCATAATATTGTTTTAAACGCTTCAATTCCTTCATTGTCT